ATGGGTAACACTGCTAGTTAGCCGCTGTTAATTGTTTTGAGCGACTTACTGAGAGAAAAGGGGCTGGGGATTTAGCTCAGCAGCATAAGTACCTGCCTTGCAAGCAGGTGTTGTGAGTTTGGTCCCCGGTACCGAGAAAAAAAGACAAAAAAAAAAAAAAAAAAAAAAAGAAAAAAAAGAAAAAGAAAAAGAAAACCCCAACTGACAGAGTTAGACCTCTTTGGGCGATAGTGAGGAGTTGCCTCACAGATGCTACATGTCGTGACCATATAAGGGCAGGCGCCATGGCGCTCAGCCACCATCAGACAGAATCTTCCCGCGAGCAATCTCGTGAGCCCAGTGTCGCAGGTGAGGCGGCTGTCCCTGACCCAGAGAGTGAGGACTCGTCAGATAGTGAAGAGGAGGAAGAGGCACACAAAATGGCGGACGCAGCGGCCGCCGGAAAGGAGGAAGTTAGACACCCAAAGTCAGGTGAACTCAATTAACAGAATTGGTAACTATTTGCACCTGATCAACCTCAATTAACAGAATTGAAGATCATTATAGAGGTCTTTAAGCAATACCCACAACCCTTTAACCTGCTCTCAGACTCACATTATGTCGTCAATGCCCTGCAAGTGTTAGAGATCTCGGGCCCTATCAGGGAATCCTCCAGGGCCCACTCTCTTTTCCTGGAGCTCCGCACGCTACTAGGCCAGACTACAGAGACCCCAGTCCGTGTTTTTCATACCAATGCTTCAGGGGTGAGGAGCAACGATTCCTTCACACCCTCCACCTACAAGTCTCAAAAGGTCTTCAATATCACAAAAACCCCAGTCTGCCTGCAAGCTCCCTACCTTTTTCTGTTGTTTGAAGCCACCACAAATATGATTTTTCTAAATTGCTCCACCGCAACCTGTTATGTGTCATAATGTTGGGATAACAGTGCACTTTCAGCTGTTGTTATGCAGGTACCCCAGTTCGTACCGATTCCAGGTATGGCGGACCCAGACGAGTTTCCTGTGATCCAGCTCGTGCGCTATAAAAGAGATTTTGGAATCACGGCCGCGATAGTGACAGCTATCGTGGCGGCCTCCGCAGCAGCCGCAGCCGCTGCTGTAACCCTCACATCACAAGTCTCAATGGCTGAACAAATTAACAACATCGTTGCTCTGTCGGATTCGCAGACAAAGGAATAGGGACAAAGTAAATATCAAACAAGCATTGCTGGCCATGGAATCCGGTCAAAGCCCGGCAGCATGGCTCGCCATGCTGTGACGCAGGTGTGGAGCAAAGCATCGCAGGGGGTGTCGTCCTTGGCCAGGAGACACCCCGGTCTCCAAGTCGATGAGCATGCGGGTTGGGCTCATAAAACAATACTCCCACCCCCTCCAAAAGAGCACCAACAAGTAGTGAGGCACTGTCATGACTGCAGCATGATACCTCACGAGGGGCACCGACCCCTGGAGACCCTGCGTCAGTTATAAAGAAAGGGGGAGATGTTGGGCGCAGGCGCTCAACATACTATACCCCGCCCGGGACTAAGAACCACGTCAGCTTCCACAATGCGCTATGTCCCTCTCCTAACTAGCTTCCCCATGCACACTCCGTGCTCGCCCCGTGCTGACTCCGTGGCGTTATGTGATTGGCCACAGCCAGATATATAAGCCAGAGCCCATGGCAATAAGGCGGCAGTTCCTGTTACCAACAAGAGCGTCCTCTGTCTCATTGGGGGGCTGCGCCGGTCAATATTTAAGTGTATAAGATAGATAACCATATTACTGAGATTTGTTGGATCATTGAACAAAACTGTTTGCAGTCTCACTGTTTGAAAGTCCCCTCTATATGCTTTAATTTTGTAACTTCAACAAATATTTCTAAGATGACAATGTGTAATTAACTAATGACTTCCTACTGTTTTTTCTGAAATTCTGTATAACTTGTACCCTTTTTCTGTTTTTTTCCTCCTTAAATAAAATTAAATAAATAAATAAAAAGAAAGTCAAGTAAGACACTGCTTCAACTTTTCCATTGTCAACTATAAGTGAACTAACACTTTACAGTTGACATTGAACTAAATTAATACGACAAAGGAGAAAAGCCATAATTAAAATTCTGGGCTCCCTAAACTAATGGTGGTCCTGCACTATAATGTTGTCTTCTAGTGAGATTGAACCATAGTGTCCACAAGCAAGGAATACCTCTGTCCCAGTGCAAGAGGAGACCTGGGAATGAGGAGCAGCTGGCTGTGCCAGTGAGGGCGGGTGGCTCTGCTCCTCCACTGGCCACTCCTCTAGGAACCAAGTGCCAAAGCTAAGGGGCCTCCAGGGCACATCAATATCTTTCCCTGGCTCCCTTGTGCACTCTGTCAGGTAAGGAAGAAGACAACAGTGAGGGAAAAAAATCCTCCAGAGTGGCAGAATACAGAGGCTTGAAAAAGTGTAAAGTCTCTACCTATCCACCACCCCCAAAGGTGTAAAATCCCCAAGGTGTAAGATCCCAACCTCCTGCCAGACTAGCAAGTTAGAGAGGAACATTTTTAAGCAAGTGCATGGCTTGGTTTTATGAATACACATATTTTGATAAAGTACAGGAGCAGAAGGAATGGAAAAATATTGTGAAGATGTTGTTGAACCTGAAAATAGTTTTAGTGTGGAAACTGGAAGCATATGATGTTTTACCAAGGAAAAATGGCTAAAGGGAATAACTTCACTACAGTGTGACTGCACAGGAAAAAGTTTGACTTTTTACTCAGTTGAATGATATGCCACTGTTTAAGAATATGTAAAGATTAAACCATAATCTTCAGGTGAAGAAAAAAAAAAAAAGAGTACGTACAGAAAGCTGGGCTTGGGGGCATATGCCTATAATCCCAGCACTAGGAGGCTAAAGAAAGTAGTTTAATTCCAAATTTGAGCTCAACCTGGGCAATTTAGCAAGACTGTTCTCAAAAGTAAAAAATAAACAAGTTATCACACCCATGTTTATAGATGTTTTTAACCCTCCCTAAACTGATCTACAGATTCTACAAGTCCATAAAAACGCCAATAGGCTTTTTGTAGAAATTAAAAGGCTAATTATAAAAATATACATGGAAATGCAAAGCCCAAGAATAACCAATCCTTTTTCTTTTTCTAGAAGCAGAGCCTCACTATGTAAACTGACTCTGAACTCACGATATAGCCCATGCTGGGCTGAATTTGTGGCAATTCTGCCTCAGCCTCCCAAGTGCTGGGATTACAGATATGTGTCACCGTTCCAGGTCCCACTATCTGATTCTAACACTACCTATAACATTCTGTCCCCTTGGTTGTTGCCCTTGGCAGTTACTGCTTTTTTGTCTTGTTTGTTTGTTTGTTTTTAGTACCAGGGATTGAACTCATGACCTCGCGTTCACCAGGCAGGTACTTATGCCCACTGAGCCAAATCCCTGGCCCTTTTTTGTCTTTTTGAAAGATTGTTGTACCAACCCTAATCTTTGTATGTGGCCTCTCTTGTCCATCATTTTAAACTCTAAACAGAAGACCTACATAAACAGTCAAGATGTTAACTGCTATATGCTTTAGAATTTTTTTTTATCGGTACCGGGGATCGAACTCAGGACCGCCTGCTTGCAAGGCAGGTGCTTACGCCGCTGAGCTAAATCCCCAGCCCCTATGCTTTAGAATTACTGAACCTATATTTGTTGACTGTTGTAATGCCTGTCTTTAGTCTTTAGTTCTAGGTAACAACTAACACAAAACATATAAACTGATGGCAGCTTTTTTTTTTTTAATCTTTTTATCAGTACAGAGCATTGAACTCAGGACCATCTGCTTGCAAGGCAGGTGCTTATGCCACTGAGCTAAATCCCCAGCCCCACTGATGGCAGCTTTAACTGACAAAAAAGAAGTAGCAGTAGTAGTGTGGTGCCACAAGACTACAATCCTCACAACCTGGGAAGCTGACACAGGAGGTTCAAGAATTGAGGCCAGCCTGGGCTTCAAAAGTAGCTAAATCCCATCTCGAAATTTAAAACTAATCCAGGTGTGGTAGCACACACCTTGTAATCCTAGCACTCAGGAGGGTGAGGCAAGAGGACTTGCCGCAAGTTCAAGGTGAGCCTTAACTACATAGCAAGATCCTGTTTCAAGAAACCAAAAAATAAATAAGTAAAATAAAATAAAAATAAAGGACAGGAAATGTAGCTCAGCTCAAAAGTTCTGAGTTCAATCCCTGGGACCTCTCCCCATCATCAAAAAATTACATCTGTCTAAAAAAACCTACAGCCTGAAGACATTGTGGCGACCCACTCCTGTAATCCCAGCTACTTAGAGCCCTAGACAAGAGGATAACATTGAGACCAGCCTGGGCAATTTAGCTAGACCCTGTGTTAAAAAAACTGTGTGAGTTTTGCGCCGTGACAGTATCAAAGCCAATGAGGTTTATCTGAGGCACGATTATTGCAAAATGAAAAATTGTGAGGGGGCAAGGGGAAAGTTCAGCGGTAAAGCGCTTGTCAGACATGTGAGAGATCGTGAGTTCAGCCTCCAGTTCTGTAGGATGAAACGGGAGGGAGAGGATGAGGGATATGATCAAGAGACCTCTGTCTCTGAGCACGCAGATTTCCTGCTCTTTGCGCCCCTCAAAATGGAACTGTGAGAAAAGCCCTCCATCATTCAAGACTGGCTCTTGAATGAACCTGATTTCTCCCTGCCAATTCTACAACTCCTACTACTCTGCTTCAGATAGTACTGGTCCTGTACAGGCTGCTGCCGCAGGCAGCCTTAGATTATTTCAGTAACACTCCTATAAAGCTAGAGTAACGAAGACCGAAAGGAAGTGGCATAAAGTTGGTCATGCAGGCCAAGAGAACAAAATAGTCAGAAACAGCCCCCTGCATAAAGTGCAATAGGATACGACAAAAGCACCACTGTAAGTCAAATGGTAAAACGATTTTTGGCAGAAGACAAGCCCCGCAGTGCAGGCTGGGGCGATAGCGGAGGGGCAAACAGGGGGAGAAAAGGGCTTCGTCAGTTTACCTGGGGGCCTAGAGGCGGTGATGGGAAGACCCCAGTCAAGCCTCTGGTGCAGCGCAGCAAGATCCGGGCTTGAAAGCCTGAGGTGCAAGGGGTTGCAGAGTCCGATGAGAGACCCGAGGCGTCCCAGCAGCTCCTAAAGACTGGCTCCGCGCGCCTACTTTAACTTCCCGGCGGAAGAGTGCCGCCGCCAGAGCCTATTTCCGGCCCCTCTAGCAGGTAACTCTCGGTGGTGCCGGCCTCCCTAGGCACCGCCTCCTTTGGCCCCGCCCTTCCGGCGCTCACCGGTTTGGGAGTTTAACCCTGTACTGGCTTCCCACGCGTTGCTGAACCGAAGCGTTGTACCGCTTGCTGCCGTGGACCTACCCGCGACAGCCTCTACTCTTCAGCTTAGAGGGGTGTGGGCGCTCCTGAGCCAGCCGGGAGAGATTTTTTCTTTTATGGTTAAATGCAGTTTACCGTCGTGAAGGTTCGTCCGTGCATTGTGCAGTAGCTTTCCTATGGTTGTCTGGTGAATCTGCAGCTCTTCAGTGTGGAAAATACAAAGAGAGGCCCAGGAAATACTCGTTTTTCACTCCCCTTTAGCAGGCCTAGCCACACTTTTCTAGTCGGTGTGAATTAGGCTATGTCATGTAAGTGGAAGCCTACAGGATTTGTCCTTTTATGACTAGTTTCAGTATGCGTTGTGTTCATCCATCTTGTAGCCTGTGTCTGGCAGTGTTAGTCAGCTTTTCATTGCTGTCACAAAACACTTGACATAAATCAACTTTAAGGAGGAAAAACATCCAAGTGTGGGAGTGCACGCTTTCAATCCCAACACTCAGGAGATGTGCAGAGGAATCACCAGATGGAGACCAGGTTGAGCTACGTGGGGAATCCCTGTCCCTGCACCCCCAAAGAAAGGCATTTATTTATTTTAGCTCAGTTTAAGGTTGTAGTCTAGTCTGTGGTTGAGTGGTTCCAAAGCAGAAGAAATATCTTTTTTTTTAACTTTTTTTTTTTTAATCAGTACCAGGGATCGAACTCACCACTGCATGCTTGCTCAGCGCTTATGCTGCTGAGATAAATCCCCAGCCCCAAGAAGAAATATCTTGGCGGAAGGACATGACAGAAGAAAGTTGCTTGCTTCATGGCAGCCAGGACGCTACAAGAGATCAAGAGTCAGGGAGAAAGAGACTGGAAACCAGATAAAGTCTCCAGGATCACATTTCTGTGACCCACTGCCTTCAACTAGTCCCCGCCTTCTATTTCCATCACCTCCCAATAATGCCATCAAATTACGGTCTCAGTGGATTCATCTGCTTTTAGAGCCCTCATGATCCATACTCACCCCAACAGTTTAGGGCAATAATGTATTTCAAATCCAATTTAGAACATAGGATTTCCTCCCTTTGTAAGGTTGAACAGTATTCCATTGTATGACTAGACCACGTTTTGCTCATCTACTTGGCTTATCAATGGACCCTGGAGCCATTGTGATGTCAAATTTAATTCTAAGGATCTCAGTTGATTTCATTTACATTTTGCTTGAATTGGAGGAACACTTCATTTCATAAAATAGAATAAATGTTCTGATGAGCTGTGTGGAGTTTGGTTTTATAGATAATAGATAAAGGCTGAAAAAACTAGAAACAACAAAAAAGAGCAGATTAGTCTTGGTCATTTGTCGTTGTTGATGTTTATCTTTGTTTCAAGACAGGGTCTTGCTTTGTAGTGCAGGCTGACCTCAAACTCACCTTGACCACTGTCTCAGCCTCCCAAGTGCTGGGAAAACAAGTGTGTACCACCAAGCCCGGCTTTTTTTTTTTTTTTTTTTTTTTTCTTTTTTCTTGTGGTCATTTCAATGTTACTTTCCTCCTAAATCAGAAGCAGGGAGACAGACAATAGAAAAAAGTAGCCATCAAATACTTCAGGTTATTTTTGTTTTGGTAAGGATTAAAGGTACAGGAACCTTATTATGCCCCATTCAGAAGCATTCTTGTGATTACTCAGTGTCAAATAACAACTTAGTTTCAGTGTGGTGATGTGGGACTTCAGTATGATGACATTTTTATTTTTAATCAAGTCTGCTGGGGCCCAGCATAGGAGCTGAGTCCAAAGCAGTGGCCTTGAGAGAGAAATGGGGGTGGGGGATAGGAGAAAAGAAGAAAGGGAAAAGCAAAACAGTGGCCTCCTGTAATTTTGATTTAATAGTGAATAATGTTGCTATGCACACAGAAATATTTGGGGGTGTTGTATGATTTTGATTTTCTTGAGATGGAATCTTAGTACTTCAGGCTGGCCTTGAACTATTCAGTCCAAGCTGGCTCAAACTCACAGCAATCCAGCTCTACCCACCACCCAGTGCTGGGATTACAGGTGTGTGCCACCATGTGTAGCTCAAGAATATCTCTTCAAGTATTGCTTTCATTTCTTTTGGATATAATAAACCCAGAAATGGACTTGCATATGCTAATTATATATTAAGCCATGCCATTTTCCACAGTGGTGCCATTTATATTCCTGGCACAAGACTTCCCATTCCTCCACATGTTTACCAACACCTGTTATTTTTCTATTTAGGCTTTTTGGTTTCTAAGTGTTTTGCTTTGTTTGGGTTTTCAATGGAAGCCGTCCCAATATGTGAAACAGCAGCTTACAGTGAATTTGATTTGCATTTTCCTGAAAGTGATATTTGTAAAAAATAAAAACATAAAATAATCTATTTGCAGGATAAAGTCTTTAACTCTGCTCAGAAAAACTACTATTAGCCTGCAAACATGATTATGTAAAAGTGACCAAGAGATACAGACCTTTTCTTCCTGTTTATTGTACACTTTGTACTTCATGACAACTTTACGAACCTCATGGGTTTTTTTTGTTTTGTTTTGTTTTTGTTTTTGTTTTGGTACCAGGAATCAAACTCAGAACCTTATGCTTGCCAGGCAGGCGCTTGTGCCACTGAGCTATATCCCTGGCCCAAGCGTATGTTCTTATTTACCACTCAACAACATACAAGCTTTAGCTCTGTGCTAATAACTAGTAGTTGTTCTGTAACTATTTGGAAAATAAATAGAGCTAATATTTACGCTCATTTGAATAACAAGGAGTCACCAATGCAAAGTCCAGGGAAGAACACTAAAGATAAAAGGAGTAGGGAGTCCCTGGGCTCTTTGTTGCGTATGACATCTGGGGGTGCTCAGAGCATAGACTAGCAGTGAGATGCCATTAGGGAGATGAGGAAACGGGCACAAGGAAGTCAGAGATGGAAAGGGTAAGATCGTAGATGGCTTTGTAAGACTGTTTGAATAACTTATTGTGTTAGCCAATGGAATTGGCTTGGTGGCACATACCTGTAATAGCAGCACCCCGGGAGGCTGAGACAGGAGGACCTCAAGTTCAAGCCTAGCCTGAGCAACTTGGTGACTTGGCAAGATCCTGTCTATGTAGTCCATGTTGGCCTTGAACTTCTATGGGGCTCAGGCTGACCTCAAACTCATGGCAATCCTCCTGCCTCAGTCTCCTGAGTGCTGGGATCACAGGCATATACCACAAAGTGTGGCATAAATGGAAGTTTTGAAATAGACTGAACATGATACATCTGAGAGGTCACTGTCCACAGTCATGCTCAGAACTACTACTGTATAAACTAGTGAGCAATTCGTGTCACATTGCTCAGGTTCCTGGTGGCTCAGTTCTCAGCAAACACATGGAAGGGCAGAGCCAGCCTCACTGATGAACTCCCTGGCAAACCTAAAGAAGATGTGGTGGTGGCAGCAGGGGTGTGGCTGATTGCTCTAGGGCACAGACTGGTGAAGTCTAATGGCCTCTGTATGAGAGTCAGTTAAAAGATGAGACTGCACAGTGATTTGAACAATATAGAGCTCTGTGTCACAACAGAATGATCTGTGGTGCATAGAAGAACCTGCAGGCTATTCTGGGCTGCGAGGCCATGAGTAGGAACCATGGGGTGGTAATAGCTAGCTAGAGCTGGGGCCACACCATGGCTCCAGTCACTGAATAACACATTCATGTTAGGCAGGCCAAGGACAACAAGCTGGAACACTGTGAGATCACAGTGGCTAAGGATGGGCTGACTGGCCAGTGGAGCACATGAAAAATGGCTGGGAAGGCCTGGGACAGTGTAGCTGAGACTTGAGTGAGCAACACGGGAGCACCACAGGCAGCCTGGGCAGGAGCAGCAGAGAGAGGGAACAGAAGTGGAAAGCAGAGCACCTTTCCCTGCTGTGTCCCTCTGGCACCCTCTGGTGACACATTTTAACATTATAAACCATAATCGCAGGACTCAGGAGGCTGAAGCAGAGACTGTTTCAAGTTCAAGTCAGCCTGAATTACATCGGGAGACCCTGTCTCAAAAGGGGGGCAGGGGAAGAGGTGAGGGAGTGGGAGAGGGACAGAGAGAGAGACTTTAAGTGCTCAGCTCCATTTCACCGGGCAAGCAGTTAATAATACATTTGAAATTGAATGACAACACATGAATAGTTGGAGTCTCCAGCTCAGGTGGGCAGTGGGGTGCCTAACAGTCATCCTCTACTCCCCTAAGCATTCTGTGATGCTTTACCTTGACTGTCATCTTAATTGGCCTAACAGCTTCCTAGGGGACTAGTAAAGGTAAAACACACTTCTGGGTAGGTCAGGGTAGGTCACAGAAGAATAAATCTTAGGGTTATATCTGGTTCCTTCCTCCTTCCCCTGTGCTCTGTTTCCTGGTTGCCATGAAGTTGTCATAGGGAAGTGACTCCCAACCTGTTAGATGTCAGATATGCCCACTTTGTTTCTCCTGATATGGAAGAATGGATTCAAGAACAAAGGAAATGAAGAATAGGATAAGTTTATTGAAAGCTCCTGAGACAGAAGAGGTCTCAAAAGTGGGTGATCACGGAGACTCTTTATCCAGAAGTAATTTACACACAAACTACAATCAACATACAGAATTACAGGGCTGTCATTTAGCTATTAATTAGTAGGGATGTGAGGTACATAGGAAGTGTATGTGGTGGGCATCATTAACTCCAGATTGTCTTTAATTTCTACTATACAAAAAACAAAGGCATTCATGGAGGTACAGGTCAGGGGGTTCTGGTCACCTACCTATGTGTTTGACCAACTCTCTGGGCTCACTGGACCAGGTGGTACCAATTATGGCACAATTCCAAGCTGCTGTTGATTATCAGGGAAGCTTGAGGCCTTCAGATTTGTCTCCAGCTGCAATAGTGATGTGCCTCATC